GATATGGGGTAGTCTTGTATATATAAGACCGGCCAAGAAGCAACGGGAACAATGTTATTGAACTGCGGACAGAGTATTGTTGAGTCGAGCACGTGAGACCTTCATTGTGAATTATAGTGTTTGTCCTGGAACAATGTGTAATTGAACTGCGGACAGAGTATTGTTGAGTTGAGCACGTGAGACGTTCGTTGTGAATTATAGCGTTTGTTATAGCGTGACTGTGTAAATTAAGTGTATTGTAAAGTTGTATTCAGAAAGAATAAACGTTTTATTTAATAAAAGACTTGTGTCGCTAAGTTTCGTCGGAACGAATTTACGGAAAATTAACTAACGAACGGAGACGTAACACTAGCGGCTGTTTCATTTAGACAGCAACATATATTACAGTTAACCTTTCTAACTTGGTTGTTACACGTAACTGCAATATCCTCTTGGGCAAAATAGATATCATCTACAATACAGAACAAAGAATCAGAGCAACTACAACAAAGCAATTTCAACTACAGCGTGAAACTAAATTACCATTTTTTTTAATTCTTATGTAACTAAAGCTGGTAGAAAACATGGTAATGCTTACATATCACACACACCATTAACTAGTTTTTTAAAATTATACACTCATTATCTTAACTGAAACAGATGAAATATTCTCATTCTCAGGATATCGCAGATTTATCCACTAGTTTCGGAAGTATTATTCATGCTTTACGTAATTATAGTATTTTTTTTCATGCAATACTTTATTTTATGTTTTCTACATTTTTGTCTGAAGTTCTTAATGATGCTCTTTTAACCCTATCACTATGGGTAAAGTCACCACGTTTGTAGACTTACATTCGAAATTTTATTGAACTACTATTTTATGAATGTATTTCAATAGAATTTTGCATCAAATTATAGGTTATAATTCAAGTTTTAGCATTATACATTAGTTAATTTTTTAATTTGTATGTAAATATTAAAACAAAATTCCTAAATATTAACTTTTTTTTTGTGCAACGTGGTACGTTGTTTTCTGGTTTAGTTCAGGTTAGATTTTATGATAACCACAATACGTTGTCTATAGTTTCTTATGAATTAGAAACTTAAAATATCAATATTGACAAGCTAGAATGTAAAATAAGAATCTCCTCCCTTTTATATTAGCTGAAACATTATTATATTTAGCAAATCCACTACAGTGGCTCCATCCACCTCTTCCATTTTTGGAAATACTTGTTTACGTATGCTAACTTCACTCAATTACATGTTTACAACTAACTAATTAAAAGCATTTTTTTTTCTTATCTGTTTACTCTTTTCAGCCTTTATAAAATGTTTAAATGGGAAAAACCTGTCTTTTTCTGTGACAAGGAGATCCAAAATGAAATTTGATTTTTAGACCTACATACAGCTTACTTAGGAAACCTGATGAATTACAGTGGAATTTTGTGCTATCTGTATAGTAATTCATAATTTTTTATTTCAAAATGCACATATAAAATCTACAAAAATGTTTTTTTTGTTTTTTTTTACATCCTCCACATGCCAGATTAGACAAGGCTTATCAAGTTATCACAAGCAACTGAAAATTATAAATACATTTTGTAACACTGTACGTAGTACAGATAATTGATTTCTATATTTTGTATATACTATTCCATGTCTTAAGAAAAATAACTGAAATTTAGGAGTTTATTTGTAAATAGTAATAATATGTATTCATATGTAATGTAGGATAACCGAAATGTGATTGTATTTTACAAAATACTGGTGCACTAGTACAAAGCTAAGATCAGTTTTATGTTGTAATTAAGCATCTTCTGTGCTTTACTTCTTCCTTCCCGAGTTAATTATTTTAGTTCTTCTAAGCATCCATCAGTAGGAGTTGATGTTTCTGGATTATTTATTCTGACAGTCCCATAATTCCTGGGAACATAGAAATGTATTAATGGTTTTGAAGTCAACATTTTCTATATCTGAAAATGTATTTTCAATAGATACGCACCTCCTTACACAGAATAACTTGATTCTTTCATGTTGTGAGATTTGCATGCCACTGGGCTTAAGCTACTTCCCACCTAAAAATACATGTTTAACATGAACTGCACTAAGATATGATAGCATCATCATGCAATGACAGACCTCCACGAACAGGAGGACAACACAACCTCCTTGCATGGTAGCTCCCCCTAAGCACTTACACTCAAAATAGCTTCAATGATAGATATGCCAAGAAAAGAGTGTATTGGAAGTGGAGAGAACATGTGTGAAGGTGTCTATCAGATATACATTTTCAGGAAAGGAAAATGTTAATTTGCAAGAGAGCGATACAGTTGACTCAATGAATGACTGTAAAAGAATGATTATCTTTCTGAGCAAAGAAAGATAAGTAAGTGAGTATGGTGAAACATTGTGTGGGAAGCATCAATGACATGGTGACATCAGGTGAGAAGGAGAGGGAAATATGTCTTCAGAGAAAGATGGTATAATGAAAATAAAACCAACAGCCCAAACAGAGTACATGTAACAGTGTGTAAAACTACATTAAGATCCATATCAGATATGGGAGTAGGATGATGAAGTAAGTGAAGAAGGAAGTATTGGAACAAAGCAGAGAAGACAGGGAAAGAAAACCTGATGGAAATGAAAAGGTAAAATGTAGTTTATAAAGCCACATGATAACCAGCAATAGTGGAACCAACAATCGATGGTTGAACAACTCTGTGAAAAAGGCCACATTAGGATGGCCTGGAGGAAGAGTGTCTGATGAACAAACATGAAAAAACATGCCACTTTCATTGATAAATGGATCGAGTTGAAGGATGACAGGAATTGGATAAGAAAAAGTCTATACAACTGGAGGGTCCAGCCCTGAAGAGGACCAGACAAGTCCCATATGTGAAAATGAAGGGATGACAGCCGTGGATAAAAGGGAGACGTGTTGCTGGAGCAAGAGAGAGTGGGAACAGCATGGAGGAAGAGAAGCAGAGAAAAACAGGGTTGTGCCTTCCAAAGAGGTGCCACCAACTGGAGCCAACAATGAGTGTTGTGTATCAAAGCAATGACACAAGGGAGAAGACAAAGAGGAGGATAGCATAGAGAAAAGGTTAAACCAATCCTGGCTGACAGCATTGACTGTCACGGCCGAAGGATGAGGAACTGGGGACCAGAAGAGGAAAAGTTTGGTGTTGAGGAAGTGGCAAAAGACATCAATAAAAGGTGTGTCCAACTGGTAGCAAATCCAACAAAAGGCCTGAGGGTGAAGACAGACAATTCACTACCAAGTTCAGAACCTCTGGCACATGACAAGCCATGAGAAGAACCTGATGGGAATAATCCCAAAATAGCAGGTCCAATGCATTGAAGCAAAGAGTCCTGAAAGAGTCCTAAGAGTTGATATGAGAACTGACCATGGAATTCTCAGAGCAGATCATACCCAACTGATCCACGAGAAGAGGGAGGAATGGGAACATGCCAGACAAATGGCAAAAAAGTTTGAGTACATGGATATGAAGTGAACATTCCACTAGAGCCCACATGCTTGAAGTCATGTTGTTGTTCAAAGATATACTCCAGTCCAACAGAGAAACGTCTTTGAAGAGATGGTGATCCAGTTGAAAGGCAGAAAGGAGATGCCTACTGTGGTATTGGCATTGTCAAGCCACCCAGCCAAATCCTTGAGAGAAGGAGGCACACAATTAAAGACACTAAAGTCCAAGAAATATTCCATTGGAGGAGGTCTATGTGTGTGTAGCCTAAAGGAGTAAGTGGTTCGGTGGAATCCAGAGCCTCCAAAAGCATAAAACCTCACACACACAGGGTGTAAAAGAGAAACACAGATGTTAGTGACAAGACATTCTATTGCTTGAAATTGAAGTGGTGAAGGCTGAGCCCAACTGAGATGGGAATTGAAGAACACACCAAGATATACCAAATAGATGTTGGTGTGAGAATACACTTGCAAGGCTTGACAAGTCAGCCCAGCCAAGCAGCCTCTAAAAGAAGAATGCAGGTGTGAGAGGCGTCCTCCAAAGAGGCAGGAGAAGTCAATTGTCCATGTCACAATGGATCCTCAGCCCCAATCCATGAATAAGATGGGCAAATGATTTGATTAAACACATAAGTAGGAGACACAATGCCAAAAGGAAGAGCATAGAAATGGAAAACCTGATACCAATTTGTGAAATGAAGAAAACATCTGGAGGACAAGGTGATTGGAATATGTAAAAAGACATTTGAAACATCAACATTGGTCATCCACAGTTCAAGTTAAAAGAACTACTGTAAATAAAAGAAACCTTTCATATGGAACTGAGGGATGACAAGAAACCAGTTGAGAGATCACAGCATGATAACCAGACAACAGCTCCTGGTCTTCTTGGGGACAAAAAAACAGTAACAACTAAGTGTAGGAGTAAACCTGCTCTCAATAGTTTTCTTGGTTAACCCTTTCCAGACAGGTTGCAGGTGAAAAGCCCTGTGATCACATTTGTTGACTCGCATTCAAAATAATATTGAACTACTATTTCATGAATTTATGTCACTAAGTTTGGTATCAAACTGTAGATTATAATTCAAATTTTACTATTATACCTTACTTCATTTCTTAATTTAAAAGTAAATATTAAAAAAACACAGTTAAACATTGATATTTGTGTGTCACATTGTATGTTGAATGCAGCACTGGTTCAAATTAGATGTTTGTGATGTCAAAATACTAAGTCTATAGTTTTGTACGAATTAGGAACTTAAATTACCAATATTGACAAGTAATAATATAAAATAAGAGCCTCTTATCTTTTCAATTTGCTAATATACTGCTCATGTAATAAATCAAACACAGTGGCACACTGCCCACCTCTTTCCATTTTTGGAAATGCTCCTTAGATACACTTACTTCTATATATAACATGAATAACCAATTGGAAGCTCGGAATGTCCCCCTAGTAGCTTTCTCAGCCATTTTAACGTGTTTGGATGCCATCTCTTTCTTTTGAACCAAGATTTCAATGAGGTAGGTTGTGTCTTTAGTTTGCTCAAAATTTCATATTTTTTTAGACAGACTGAAATACAGCTTAGTTACTAAACTTGATAAATTATAGTGGAATTCTATGGTATTGATAGAGTAATTTATGATTTTCTAGTTATTCAACTGTATATATAAAACCTAAACAAAATTTTGTTTCATATCCTCCACGTGCAAACTTTTAAAAGGCTTAGCAACCTAAGTCAAGCAGCAACTGAGTACAAAGGTCGTAACT